ATGCAATCACAGTCACACATTTGATATAAATAATAATGGTTTTTGAATTGTTAAATTGGGCTTTGGGCAAAAATTTATTAATAAATATTGTTATTAGGCAGTAGACAAGCCAAATATTGCAGCACATTGTGTGTTTAAATAAATAAGCCGGGCGGTGGTGGCGCACGCCTTTAATCCCAGCACTCGGGAGGCAGAGGCCGGCGGATCTCTGTGAGTTCAAGGCCAGCCTGGGCTACCAAGTGAGTTCCAGGAAAGGCGCAAAGCTACACAGAGAAACCCTGTCTCGAAAAACCAAATAAATAAATAAATAAATAAATAAATAACCCTTGCCGGGAGGTGGTGGCACATGCCTTTAATCATAGCACTCAGGAGGCAGAGGCAGGTGGATCTCTGTGAGCTCAAGGCCAGTCTGGTCTACAATTTGAGTTCCAGGACAGTCAGGGCTGTTACACAGAGAAACCCTATCTCAAAATAACAACAACAACAAAAATAAATCACCCTTGATAAAATGAATTTCAACAATCCATTTGACATTATTTTCACTTTGTAATATACAAACAGTCTCAAAAAAGCATGCCAGGGGCTGGAGAGATACCTTCGTGGTTAAGAGCACTGGCTGCTCTTCCAGAAGATCAGGGTTTGAGTCTCAGGACCCACGCGGTGGCTCACAATCATCTGTTAACTCTGGTTCCAGGGGATTCAATGCCCTCTTCTAGACCCTGCAGGTACCAGGCACTCAAGGGAAGCACAGACACACATTCAGATACCATACACATAAATTAAGTAAAAACAAAAATAAAGTATGAGCTGGGTGGTAGCAGTGGTGCACAAATGCCTTTAATCCCAGCACTTGGGAGGCAGAGGCAGGCTGATCTCCAGGATGGACAGAGGTACAAAGAGAAACCTTGTCTCAAATCAACAACAACAGCAAAAAAACATAGCATTGGCTCAAGGCACAGTGGCACACATCTGTAATCCCAGCACTCGGGAGAGAGGTGGAGGCAACTCCCTCCTCTCTAAGGAAGAATCCAATCCTTTGGCTTCCTATAGGGTCTGTTGTTCCCTTAAGCTCTGCTCAGGGTCTGGTACATAATAGATGTGGACAGAGTTCTATCTCATTAGTTCCTGTTATGAAGCCCTGGCTCCCCATGTGATGGATCTGGAGGTTGGGCTTGTGGATGGTCATTAGGTTCAGATGAGGTCATGAGGGTGGGGCTCTGTCTTACATCAGTCTCCATTACAAAATACTATGAAAGGGTGGCTTAAAAACAGGAATTCATTTCTCACAGGCTTTGAGGCCAGAAGGTGCCAGCATGGCTGGACTCTCTTGAGGACCGCATTCTGGCTCACTGAATGCTGACTTCTGACCCTAATCTCACAACACTGGGGAGTCTCTTGCATAAGGGCTCCACCCTGATGACCTTGTCACTTCCTAAGGCCCCATCTCCTAATGTCACCTCAGAGGTTACAATGTCAGCATATAAGTCTTATAGGACACACAATTCATTGATGTGGCATAGACAGATCACCTACATGGATCCCATCTTTTGCAGGAAACCCTCTCTTTATGCTGCCTATAATTTCTGGATTCTTTGCCAAAACCCCACATCCTTAGTGGCAAGTTTTAGTTGGTGTTTTGTTTTGTTTTGTCTTGTTTTGCACTGAGGTAAACCAGTTCCTGAAAAGGAACCTTGATCTACTTGGTGGTCGTTTCTTCTAGCAGTGAGCCTTCTGGAGATGGTGAGAGAAGGCTGAGATCGATTAGCAATGCCTGTCATGGCTGTTGGAGGGGCAGGTGGAGGTACCTATGCCAACCTGGCTTAAAAGATGTTATCGGTTTTCCTTTTGGCTTTGTTGTTGTTGTTCTGGGTTTTTGAGATAGGAACTTTCGTAGCTCAGGCTGACATTTAACTCATTATATACCTGAATTCCTGAATATTCCAGAATTCCTGATCCTCCTGCTTCCCCCTCCCAAATGCTGGTATTATAGGCCACGAACCATCATGAATGCAGTTAAGCACGGACACTGGGTGCCAGCAACCACGACTCTAAGCAAAGCATACTTGTGGCCCCCTCCTCAAGGGACACCCAGCTTCTGTGGGTGTGGCTGAAGAGAATGGCGGAGTCAAGACGCGACAAGAGCCCACTGCTCTGTGACTACAGAGCCTGAATCCTGCCCAAGCCCAGATCAGAGCAGTAGGACTGTCACCACGTGGGACTCTCAGCAAAGTTGTGATCCACTTCCACAAACCTAAGTCCAGCACCGTGTTAGGTACTTTGGGAGAAAAACAGAGGTACTGTGAAGCCATTTTCCCAGGAACATCACTGGCCATGCAGTGAGTAGGCAGGGAGTCCAGAACTTCAGGACAAGGACAGCTGGACCCAACAGGTAGGTAAGGAAGGGGTAGAGGTTTGGCCTCGAAAGACAGCTGTGCACACAGCTTCAGCAGTGTCTGGCTAATACCTCGAGGGCAGTGGGAGGGGGATTTAGGCTTCAAGTGGAGGGCTGCAGTGGAAAAGGCCAGGACCATAGACATGGGGTACAGGAGTCAAACCCGGCCTCCACACTGCAGAGCCAAGGGCCCAGAGGACTGGAACTCAAGTCAGCGATGGGGCCTACAGGGCAAGGAAGGTGCCCTCGGAACAAAAAAATCCATGGCAGAGACAACAGGACCCGGCTCACTGTGGTAAAGCCAGTAACTGTCACACAGGGCTCCACATTCCCACTGCTGCCGGTAAATACAGGCCATACTGGGAAGGAAGGTGGAGGTGGCAGGTGGGGCAAAGAAACAGGTGCATGAAGGTCCCCGAAGCCAAAGGTACTGGTATGAATATTGAGATAGGAGCCTGGGCAGGAGAGCAGGGAGGGTGTGCCAGAGACAAACTCCAAAAGCAAAGGCAGGTGTCCTACTTTGCTTTTCCTGCTGTGATAAGACACTGGCCAAAAGCAACTTGGGAAGAAAGGGTTTGTTTGGTTTACATGTCCCAATCACAGTCCATCGTGGATGGGTCCAAGGCAGAACCCAGGGCAGGAGCTACAGCGAAGACCGTGGAGGAACACAGCATATGGGCTTGTTCATTTCATGTTTTTATACGACCCAAGACCACCTGCCTAGGCTGGCACCGCCCACAGTGGGCTTGACCCTTCCATAGCAATTAGCAATCAAGAAAATGCCCTAAAGAGGTCCCCACAGGCCAATCTGAGGATGACAATTGCTCAGTTAAGGTTCTCTCTTCCCAGGTGACTCTAATTTGTGTCAAGTTGTCAAAAACCAATGACCCCTGTCAGCCTGACACACAAATACATCACTATTAAAGCATAGCATTCAAGGTTTTTTGTTCCCAAGATCTCATGCTAATACTAAGATCAAAACATAAAATATGGTCCAACTTTTAAAAGTCCCTCTGTCTTCAAAAAATTCAGTCACTTTAAAGTTCAATATCTCTTTAAAATACTCAAAGTTGGGGCTGGAGAGATGGCTCAGAGGTTAAAAAATACTTGCTGCTCTTGCAGAGGACCCACAGCTGTCTCTAACTCCAGTTCCAGAGGATCCAACATTCTCTTCTAACCTCTGAGGGCACCAGACACATTCATAGTACATATGAATACACACACACACACACACACACACACACACACACACACACACTGCAGTATATATGTGTCCATAAACATACATCTTACACACAAATGCAATAAAAATAAATAAATAAATTTAAATATTCAAAGTCTTAACTGTGGACTCCTATAAAATCCAAAATAAATCACATATTTTCTTATTCCAAAAGGGAAGAACCAAGGCACAATTATAATCAGATCAAAGCAAACCCCAAATCCAACAGTGTACAAAGCTCATTCTCTGACATTTGAGACATTCATGATCTTCTGGGCTCCAACGGACTTGGGTAGTCCCATTTCCCTGCTCTGCCATTTCTGACATGCACAGCTAGTCTCAAAGGCTCAGGCCGGCTCCACTCCATGCCTGCTGCTGTTGTTGGTGGACAGGCCACAGTCCTGACATCTCCCGTATGCTGGGGTCTCCACTGTAACTGAGGCTGCCCCTGTACAGTGTCCTCCCCAGGCCTCTTCAGGACTCTCACACCTGCTGCTGCTGTGCCTCAGCTTACTTCCTTCAGTCCTAGGGTCTCCACTGGGACTGAGGCTTCACCTTCGCCAATGGTCCCTCCTAGTTCCACACAGTTCCAAGCCTCACGGCTCCTCCTTGCTCTCCATGGCCCCTTCATGCCTTCCAAACCATGTGTGAGACTCTGTCGCAATGCCATATTCTGCTGCCTGCTTGATGTACCGCCTTAACACTCCGTGGGCCACAGTTTCTGTCTGCTGATCTTGAGGAGATACTTCCCAGAAGAGTTTGCCTCAGTGATTCTGGTTTCGTGTTAATCACAGCCAATTTGTCATGCCAGCTCACCAGCACTGATTGTCTTAGTAAACTAAAGGTTTCACTTCCAGGGACCCTTAGTTCAAAATATCAAATGGCCTTGTAGTCTTTGAGGAACTCTGAAGCTTCCTAAGCCAGGTCTCCATCATCTGCACTTCTCTCAACATCCTTGTCTTCCCAAGTTCCCACCAAGAAAAGTTCCTGGAGCTGTGAGTGGTGATGCACGCCCCTAATCCCAGCACTCAGGAGACAGAGGCAGGAGGAACTCTGTGAGCTTGAGGCCAGTCTGGTCTCCACAGTGAGTTCCAGGCCAGTCAGTGCTATGTAGCAAGACCCTGTCACAAACAAACAAGCAAAACAAAAAACAAAAAACAAAACAAAGAAACCTCTTGGGTTGGCAAATGGCTCCTCAGGTAAAGAACTTGCCAGGCAAGCCTGAAGCCTCAAGTTTGAGCCTCAGATCCATATAAAGGTGGAAGAAAAAAACCAACTCTCAAGTTATTCTCTGATCTCTGTATGTGAGTAGTGGCACTCATACACCCTTACACTCACATCTCTCACACACACACACACACACACACACACACACATACACAATAATAAAGTTTTAAAATAGTATTTATTATTATTATTATTATTATTATTATTATTATTATTATTATTATTAGTTTTTCCATACAAAGTTTTTCTGTATACACTTGACTATCCTGGAACTCTCTCTGTAGACCTAGCTGTTCTGGAATTCTCTGTGTAGACTAGGCTGGCCTCAGAGCTCCACCTGCCTCTGCCTCCTGAGTGCTACGATTAAAAGTGTATGCCACCACTACCTGGCTGCATTGTATTATTTTTAATTGGGGGGGGCAGGGCATGTGCCACAGCATACATGTAGAGGTCAGAGGATAACATGCAGAAGTCCTTCTCTCCTTTCACTATGTGGGGGGGGGGTCTCAGGGATCAGAGTCAGGTCATCTAACTTAGCAGCAGATGCCTTTACCCGCTGAAATCTCTTGACAGCCCAAAGAACAAGTTCTTCTGGGCCAGATGTGATGGACACCCCTGTACTCCAGGCACTCAGGAAGTGATGCAGGAAGATCAGGAGTCATCCTAAGCTGCAGAATGAGCTCCATGAGGCCCCATCTCAAAACCCAACCAAACAAACCCCATCTAACTTTATTTAGCTCAGTGCTCCAAACTTAGTGAGCCATGGGCCGATCAGAACATCGAGCCTACTGAGATGTTGTCCTGCAGGACACCAGTTTGGAAAGCACTCTGGGGACTGAGTGAAGGTGGGTGTCTCTAGAGGCAGCTCCTGGGGGAGAACCCCAGCAAGTCTGATGCTTGGAAGGGAGCAGGGAGGTAGTTTGGGGCAGGTACACATGAGGATCCTAAGGAAAGAGGAGTAGAGAGGACCAGAATATTAGCCTGGAGCAGGGAGCAGAGGAGACGCTGGGAACTCTCACTTGAAGAGGTAGGACATGGGGGAGCAGTGATGTGACCAGGGGTGTTTTCATTTACTGAAGTCTCCATTCACTGTAGCACCCTTTCCCGATGGTAGAATGGAAGTAGTGATGCGTCCCGTGGCCTCCTTGAGGACAGACACCTTCTGGGGTGAATGACTCCTGAGGGCAGGAAGATGTTCAGTTCCAGTTATGTGCAGATTGTATGATTGTAAAATCGACAGCAGTTGTCCAGTGCCTCCGGGCTGAACTCCAAGCTGGTGCTGAAAAGAAAGCAAACGCCACAGTAGGGTATCCAGGCCACTTCCGCAGCAGCTAATAGACTGTGCAGCCCTGGGAAAGTCGCTCTACGTCTCTGGTCCACCTTTCCTCCCCAGCCTTGGTGTTTAAGCCTTCATACGCCCCCCACCCCCTCATCCCACACCCCCTATTCCCCCTACCCCCCAACTCGTCACAGCTGCTGCAGACATAACATTCCTCCTACCCTGCCCCCTAGTGCGGAATGCAGGAGGGTACTTGGGTGTTCTGCTCTGTGACTCTTGCAGCTCCAGGTCAGCCACCACCCACAGCCCGGGGCTCGCTCACCTCTGGAAGACCTGGCCACAGCACTGGTACACCTCAAAGCTGCTGCTGCTGAGGGTCTGGTTCAGAAGGGACACACAGTCCACCTGGATGCCCCTGGGCACGTAGAGGACCCCTGTGGAGGGAAGCAGCTTAGAGGCTTGGCCTAGCGGACCAACCCTGCCTAAAAGGGGCTTAGAAAACCAGGCAGGCCGAGTTCTGAGCCTGCTGGACCAGCACTCACCTGCCACACAGGCGTTCATCAGGGACACGAAGGCCCCGGTGATCAGCGCCCGGAGCACAATCTGGGAGAAGTCACTCCTCCGATGGGGGACCAGGGAGGCTGCAGAGGACAAGAGAGCTTAGAGCCAAGGAGGCTACCCACCCACCCACCCCTCTGCCTACCTCTTGAAACTCTAGCACCACCCTCCTCTGTTGAGTGGCAGGAGGGCAGAGGTGGCCCCTCATTGTCCTCTGGCCTATTGGGAAGCATTCAGTTATGTCTCCTTCACCCCACCCACTATAGCAGGAGAAGGAAAAGAAGTTAGCTTATCTCTTTTCTTTTTTTAATGAGACAGGGTCTCTCATAGCCCAGGCTGGCTTTGAACTCCCTATATAGCCAAGAATGATCTTGAACTGTTGATCTTCCTGCCTCTGCCTCCCAAATGTCGAGATTTCAGGCACGAGCCACTGTGCCCAGTTGATGTGGTACTGGAGATTAAACACAGCCTCCAGCATGCAAAGCAAGCACTCTAAGCAACTGAGCTACATCCCCAGCCTTGGGGTATGTATGCTGTCATTTGTTTTGTGACAAGGTCTCATACAGCCCAGACTGGGCCTGAGTCACGATTCTCCTATTTCAGCCTCCTGGATGCTGCAAGGACAGGTGTATGCCACTATGCCCGGCTAGGAAGATGAGTTTGGGGTGTTGCAGCTGTGGCTGCTTCTGCTGTTGCTACTACAGCTGCTGGGCTTGCATTAACAGGCTGCAGGTATCAACACATTATCTGAGAGGGTGGCTGGTGCCTTGGACATTCAGCAAACATTAAATGGACAATTACACTTTGTAATTCTGATGCTTAATCAGCAAGCAGCACTGTTACAAGAACAAATAGATATGTTGTGGATACACCAACATATGTTATGTGCTTATGGGATGTCAGAAATTTGTATAATAGAACTTTTTTGAACTATACAATTCAGTTGGCACATGCCATTGTAAGGATTAATGAAACTAGAGTTGTTCCTGTAAATGAGCAGATCTGGTGGTCATTAATGTCTAAAGCTGCTGGGTGAATCACTGGATGGGCAGGGTCTGTTTCCCTCTTATTAATCTGTGCAGGCAATATGGGATTGGGTTATTTCTGCTATGCCGATGGCGATGCCAGTTCACTCGACACCGACAGGTAACCAAGCAAGCCCTTCTGGCCGTGTCACCCTCTGAATCTGCACAAGTATGGTTACAAATGTCGGACAGATAGTACCCAGAGACGGGCAACTCCTGGGGTCCTCATGCGACCTAAGGCAGGGGGCATAAGGGCAGCCCCCTATGACGGGTAAGTTTGGGGATTGCAACAGGTGACCTAAGGCAGGGGCTATCTGATCTTCCACAGGCTGTTCTAGCCGATGTGTTCCTTTTGAAAATAAAAAGGGAGGACATGTCGGCAGCAGTAAGTTTGCTGCCTTAATTTTAAATGCCCTTTTTTGTCCTGTCCCAGTTGTTTGTGTGAAAAATGTGCAGTTGGGTTCCAGAGGGTGCTGGGGATCAGTCCCCCTGTGGTTTTTCCTGTTTGGAAAACAATGTCTGGCTTGCCTCGGGATTCAGAGTAACCATTCCTTGACCCCTGCTGTTGGAGGGGTATATAAGCCCATGTTGGTACGACTAAAGAGAGCTGCTTCCCTGACGAACTGAAACTGGGTGTCTAGAGTGCTGTTTAACCTCGGTGCCCCTCGCCAGATTTCGTGCTCCAGCTGCGCGGGCCGCAGCGGGGTGTGGTATATTGAGGACTAAGTACAGGCCAAGCCAGTTCCTGGCTGACACTTCGCTTCTCTGACACACAGTTTTACTCTCCCTAAACCGGGCCAACTGCACCTTGAAGGCTGCTGTGCCCATCTGTGCAGAGCCACATTTATGAGGGGCCTTCCTCTCGCTGGCTCCGAGGGCACAGTGTGAGGCAGAGGTGAGCCAGAAAACTCACATTTCAGGGGAAGAAAGTGGGGGAGCAGGAAGGGGACAGGGTGAGGGTGTCCTTCACTTACCTATGACCTCCCTCCCTTTACACTGCCCATTGTCTCCATCACCCCTTCCCAACCATCCCCTAGGAATCCTCCTGGCTCCTGGCTCCTGGGTGCTTCAAAGCCTAGGGACTCACTCAGGCCTCCCAGCATGATGCCGATGGAGCTGAAGTTGGAGAAGCCGCAGAGGGCATATGTCGTCAGGATTTCTGCTCTGACCTGGAAATACAGATTACAAGGAGGCCTCAGCCCAGGCAATAAAGCCTCCCTGGTTGATTTGTTTGTTTTTTGGTTAATCGAGACAGGGTTCCTCTGTGTAACCACACTAGCTGTTCTAGAACTAGCTCTGTAGACCAAGCTGGCCTCGAACTTACAGAGATCTCCTGCCTCTGCCTCCCAAGGACTGGGATTAAAGGTGTGCTTCCTGGTCAATTCCTTTATGGCCTTAGCCTTGGCGCCCTCCATGATACTCCTTTGCCAGCCTCATACACGCACTTTAAGTCAGCTCACACTTTAACTTCAAAGACCCAACCCCCCTCTCCGCTGTTCTTCAGTCTGTAGCCTAAATGCCCACCTTTTGTTTTGGTGACAGGACCTCAAATAGCCCTAAACTGTCCTCAAGCTCGTCATGTAACTGAGGATGACTTTGAACTCCTGATCTTCCTGCTTCTATCTCTGAAGTTACGGACAGTAATATACACTACCATGCCCAGTTTGTGGGGTACTGGGGATTGAACCCAGGGCTTCATGTATGCTAGGCAAGCACTCTACCAACTGAGCTACATCCTCAGCCTAGTTACCAGCTTTGGGGGATCTGACTCAGGCAGGTTCAGTGTGCCGAGGGCAGTCCGAGGCCAGCCCTTCTCCCAGCTCTGCAGTCTCTTGCTTCTTTCTGGTCCCTGCAAATACCTAAAAGCCCAGACCTCAGTCTAGGCACTGCCAGGCTGGAGTGGGTGGTCTGCGGCCGTCAGCCATTGGGAATCCAACCTGCCTGATTCCCAGCTTGTCTCCACTGTGATCAGTTTGAGCAAGTCTACAGCCTCTTTAGGTTTCAATTTCTACGTCTGGAATGTGGAAAGAATAGTGCTTGCCTGGCGAGGCAGTCACAAGGCCCATGTAGTGTACAGAAAACACCAGGTATACAATAGGTGATTAAGCAAAGTGGGTCTTCTTCCATTGTGCTCTGAACAGCTGTCTAATTTTCCAGAAAGAAATGTCAAGAGCCAAAATGAAACACTTTGAAAAAAAAAAAAAAACTGGTTGCCATCCATGCTTCACACCATAAAGTTAATTTTAGACCACTGAGAGAAATAAGAATTTGAAGCATAAAATGTTAGGACATGTATGACAATAATGACTATAGTTACAAGGTAGTATTACTATACTCATCTGGGGGTAAACTAAATAAACGGAAGCTCAGAGAGTTAAGCAATTGGAAGTTTATATATCCAAAAGACAGCTGTGCCACAATTTGAATTCAGTCCTGTCTGATCAGCTCATGGTCTTAACTATTTCGTCACATTGTTTCAGGAATTTAATCAGATCTCTCCAGATCACCTCCTAAGAATTAAAAAAAAAAAAAGAGAGAGAGAGAGAGAGAAAGGAACCAAGGAGGAAGATTTGGTATAAAAATTGATGTTTAAAAATTTAAATTCTTTGCCGGGCGGTGGTGGCGCACGCCTTTAATCCCAGCACTCGGGAGGCAGAGGCAGGCGGATCTCTGTGAGTTCGAGGCCAGCCTGGTCTCCAAAGCGAGTACCAGGAAAGGCGCAAAGCTACACAGAGAAACCCTGTCTCGAAAAACCAAAAAAAAAAAAAAATTTAAATTCTTTCAAACAAAATGAAACTTAGAAAACCCTAACAGAACGCAGGCCTGGAGGCTTAGGCCTTATAATCCAATTATGAGGAGGCAGGAGGACTGTCGATTAAAGACTTCCCTGGGTAACTTAATGAGACCCTGTTTCAAAACAAAGAACATTTGTAAAGGTAAGAAAACTTTCCTGGAACTCTATGTAGCCCAGTATAGCCTTAAACCTGCCTCCTTAACTGGGTATTGGGATTGCCAGCATGTACCACCACACCTGCAGTTTATGCAGAGCTGGGGACCGAACTCGGGGTTTTGCGCGTGCTATTCGAACACTCTACCGAATGAGCTATACCCTCAGCCCCCAAACCTGGTTTTAAGCACAGACTTCCGATGCTGCTTTGTTTCTGGTGGTGGCTGCAGGGAGTGTGACGAGGTGGCACTTCACCACCACTGGATAGTTAGGAAAATTGCTACAGGCAGACTCTGCATGGGGTTCTGCTCGCCCACATCTGAGGAAGCTCCTGAAGAAATGTCCCAGGAATCAGGGAACATTCTACTTGCCGTGATATTCATTTCAACATCGTCATACACACAGCCAAATAAGGAGTTCGGATGAATGACCTAATGGCACAAGACTGGTAAATACGTAAGACACTCACAGCTGAGCCTGTGAGATGGCTCAGCAGGGCAAATGTCTGCCATTGAGGCTGACAAGCTGAGTTCAACCAACTCCTGCAAGTTGTTCTCTGGCTTCCATATGTGCAACAGGCACACACACACACACACACACACACACACACACACACACACACACACACACCACACATGCAGGCAGGCTGAAATAACTATTATCAAATATTTTAAAGATACATTAATTTTGGAGCCGGACGTGGTGGTGGACACCTTGAATCCCAGCACTCAGGAGGCAAAGGCTAGCCTGGTCTACAGAGAGAATTCCAGGACAGCCAAGGCTACACAGAAAAGCCCCGTCTCAAAAAAAATTGGGGGGCGGGGGAGCCAAGGTCCACACATAAATTTCAAATGGTGTGTAGCTCAGTTTTAGCATGCACAACAAGGGCCTGGTTCAGTCTCCAGCACTGAAAACCAAAAGCTACATAAAGACGAGGGGAGAAAGCTGGTTACCGTGTTCTGCAACAGTAACTGAAATTCTGTCTGAAAAAAAAAAAAACAAAACAAAACAAGAAGCTGCTCATGGAGGCTCACACCTGCAATCCCGAGACGAATCAAGAGCTCAGGGCCATTCTTCCATGTATCTTTGGCCAGCCTGCGCTACATGAATCCCGGTCCCCCCAACAACACATGCAAAAGAAGAAAATGGCTAGAATAGCAATAGCTGTCATCAGCACAGTGAGATTATATCCAGTTTTTGTTCCCAACAGTATGTTCTGACTTTGTATTCTTTTAGAGAGACTACTGCCATAGCCCTTGTATCATTTTGTTCATGGTGGTGTTTTTAGAATAAATGTCAACAAAAAAAGCCAAGCCCTAGACTGCACACTGTGTTTATCATCTGGGGCTGTGGTGGAGGGTCTCTTAGCTCACTCATTCTTGGAGCTCACTAGACTCTCCCACGGGCTCCTTTGGGGAGCGGTAGCAGGTGTTACACCCCTGTTTTCCAAAAGAGAGGCAAGGCGCAGTAGCTTACCCAAGGCCAAAGCAAGCAGTGGCCCCTCGGGAACTCGGTCTCAGACAAATCTCTTTCAGAAGCTCACAGTGTGGCCCTGATATCTGTCTGGCCTGCCAGGATAGCAGGATATGGGTGGTTAAGCACCACCTCAGTGTGGCTCAGGCAGGCCCCGGGGAAACACAAAAACGGTTGCCAGGGGCCCTAGGGAAGCCGCGCCATGCCGGTGCCGCCAGGAAGAAATGCGGCACTCACCGAGATCCACTGTTTCTTGCCACCCAGCCACTCCTCAGCCCCCGCCAGGCGTCTCTGCTTGTACTGGGAGAGCTCTTGATAGGCCACAAACTCATTCAGAAACAGCTTGATGCCCAGCAGCTCAGCCACCACCGGACAGTCCTCCCAGGCCACGCCCATCAAGAAGGCCACAGGCCGCAGGATGTAGGAGCAGATGAGCTGCAGATAAAGAGGCAAGAGAACTGGGTCAGACAGAGGGCTCTTCTGGGTCTCCATTTCTCATTCCCTAGCCTGAGACCATTCCCGCCACCACAGCCACACCTGGAAGCTGAGTCCCTGGATATCCACCATGTCCCCCAGCCAGGAGAGGGCGGCGTTGATGAAGGCCAGGACAGCCAGGAAAGCGATCAGATTGGCAGCAATGTTGGCAACGACCTTCACTGAGATGGCAGCCCCAGCGCTGGCTGCTTCCACAAGGTTCTGAGCGTCTCTGCCATTGGGATCAATAGGTGTCATTACGAGCATGTCCCCAGAAGCAGGAAAGGTCCCCACCGTACAGGTTCAAAGAGGAACCTTGGACAGAGGGCTTCAGAACCAAGGAGGCTTGTTTTCTTTCTGAGATAGGGAGAGAAAAGAACTTCAAGGGGGGATGGGGGGAGGGGGGCATGGCTGATCAAGGAATGAGAAAATACCCAGGTTTCTGGGCTGCACTGCAAGACAGGAGTTGACAGTTCAGTGAGTCCCTGGCTACCGGAAAGCGCTGGCCTCAACCAAGCTGTGTTGGAAATTCAGTAAATACCACTGTTGTCAACACCACTCACGTTTTGAGGAGTTGAGACGAGGGAGGGAGGGAAGGAGGGAAGAAAGAGAGGAAAATATCTTGGTTTTTGTTTTATTTATTTTTATTTTGTTTTTGTTTTTGAGACAGGGTCTCTCTATGTAGCCCTGGCTATCCTAGAACTCATTATATAGACCAGGCTGGCCTAGAACTCACAGAGCTCCACCTGCCTCCCAAGGGCTGAGATTAAAGACTTGCACCACCACATCTGGCTTCATTCATTACTATTTTTATTAATCACATGATGAAAATGTTTTTGATATACTGGTTTGAGCAAAAGATTTTATTAAGAGCATCTGTTTCTCTTTATTTTTAAAAAGCCACCAGAAGCCGGCCATGAGTGCACACACCTTGAATCCCAGCTGATCTCTGTAAGTTTGAGGCCAGCCTGGTCTACATAGTGAGTTCCACCAGCTATGTCTGAAAAAGAAGATGCTTGCTGCCAGGGCTGGTGACCTGGGTCTCATGCTTGGGAGCCTCATGGCAGAAGCAGAGAACCAACTTCCATGAGAGTTGGCTGGAATCAGCCTGCTTCCAAGAGGCCATAGATACATTGAACTATCAATTCCTATCTTGCAGCCTTTTCAGAAACCTGGGTCCTTTCTCAGTTCTGTGATCAGCTGACCCTTTCCCTCTTGGAGTTCTTTTCTTTCTCTGTCTCAGAAAGAAAATGAGGTTCCTCTGAATGGCCTGTCACCTCCACACAAGGGCTGTGGCACACGTGCGCGAACCCACTCATATACACACACAGTAAATACATGAAATGCAGTAAGATGTCTAGGGGCTGGGGAGATGGCTCAGTGGTTAAGAGATCTTGCTGCTTGCAGAGGACTCAGGTTCAGTTCCCAGACCCCACTTGACAGCTTACAACTGTCCCTAACTCTAGTTCCAGGGATCTGCTTCCTTCTAATCTTCAAAGGCACCAGGCATGCATGCGTTACACTTACATACATGCAAGAAAAACCAGTCATAAGCCTTTAAATGTGTGTGTGTGTGTGTGTGTGTGTGTGTGTGTGTGTGTGTGTGTGTAAAGATGTTTACTGGAAAATATGTAATAAAGGTTAGGCATGTAATTCAACTGATAGAGTGCTTGCCTAGCATGTGCAAAACTCTGGGTTTGATTCCCCAGCACCCCAAAAGTTGGGTGTGATAGTACACCTATAATCCCTGCATCAGGCAGTAGAGGCAAGAGGATCAGAGGTTCAAGGTCATCCTCAGATATCTAGCCAGTTTGAGACTAGACGGGATACTTGAGACCATCTCAAAAAAAAAAAAAAAAGGAAAAAGGTGGAGAGAGAGAGAGAGAGAGAGAGAGAGAGAGAGAGAGAGAGAGAGAGAGAGGATGGTGGATGGAGGGGGTTTGCAGTCTATTTCCACAGGGCAGAGCAGCCCCAAAGCCTCAGGAGGTGTGAGGTTTGGATAACCAACCCTTGTGTCTTTTCAGCATCTGAGTGTGTTGAGATGGTCTCATGGAGCCGAGGCTGGCCCAGAATTTACTGTGTAGTAATGGTAAGGATGCCCTCCGACTCCTAACCTTCCTGCCTCCATCTCCCAGATGCTGGGATTATCGACATATGACACCACACCCAGCTTCTTGTCAATAATTTTAAAGGACCGGTTAACGGTGATGATTAAGACCGTGACAAAGGCGTATTAGGAGCCTGGCATGCCACTTGTCAATGTGCGGCTGCCACCTGGTGGTCAGAGGTCAGGCATGCCGAGACGGTGGCACCAAGAGCGGAGCCACACTGGTGAACCTTGTCGGCCCTTTTTTTCTTGCTAGTCAGGAACAGATAGATTATAACTTGAAAAGTGAAATCAATGCTTGCTGCTGCTATTTTTTTCTTTGTTGTGTTCTGTTGATATGAATCTCACTATGCAGCCCAAGTTGGCCTAGACCTTGGTAAATAGCTAGGCTGGCCTTGACCACTCCATTTTCCTCCATCAACCACTTCAGCAAGTCTATGTTCGGGTTGGAGAGATGGCTCACAGGTTAAGGGTCACTGGCTGCACTTCCAGAGGACCCAAGTTCGATTCCCAGCCTCCAAATGGGGGCTCATAACCTAACCCATATGGAGGCTCTGTAACTCCAGTTACCCTCCTCTGGCCTCCTTGAGCTCCTGGTGCAGATAATACACGCAGGCAAGTACTCATACATACTAAAGAAATAAATTAGTTCTTTTTTAAAAAGAGTGTGTGTTTGCCCGTGAAGCCACCCCACGGTAGTGGTGGGAGAGAAAGCTCCATGGAGACGGAGACGAGTCAAGGGCAGCCCTGTCCCTCCCCACCTCAGCTCCTTCACCAGTGCCCTCTGCACAAGCTCCCTGCCGCACTCACCCATAACTCAGCTTCACTCCTTCCTCACTCCGGAACTTGGACTCCTCCACCTCCGGGTAGACCAGCTTGGAGAGGGCCAAAGCACATGGGGCCGCCATGACGGAGGCAGCAATTAAGGAGGCAGCGTCAATCTGTAAGAACAACCGAGAAGGGGGGCCAGGGGTGGTGAGAGCAGAGTGCTTGTCTAGCATGCACGAAAGGCCTAGATTTCATCTCCAGAACCACAGAACCAGGCACGGAGGTACCCTCAGGAAGTTGGAACAGGAGGATCAGGAAGTCAAGGTCATCCTGGGCTACATTGTGAATTCAAGGTCAGCCTGAGACCCTGTCTCAAAAATATAACTAAATTAAATAAATGGCAAGGAGGTAGAAGGGACAGGTAGAAGAAATGTGGTGGCAGAGGGACACGTTCTTCACCACATTAGTATGACTTCGCTGTATTACTGCTGGCACGGTCATTAATAATCCCCTTTATGTTCAAAGGATCTTCCGGTACTTCTGTAAGGGCCCATGAGATGGCTGAGCAGGTAAAGGCGCTTGCTGTTAAGCCTGAAGACCCGAGTTCAATCCCTGGGACTGACGTGGTAGGAGAGAACTGACTTCTGCAAGTTGCCCCTGCCTTCCACCCAGGTACACAGATACACACACAAACAAGATGCACGTAAAAAAATAATAATAATAACAAAAAAGAGTGATCGCCGCTTCCCTAAAAAAATACTTCTGCAAGGTAGGCAGCACAAGTATTATTACCCCATTTATATGCAAGGAAACCGAGGCCCTGGAGGAGTAACTATGATTTGCTCAAAATAAAGGAAGAGGAAGAATTAAAATCCGACATGGCCTTTGGCTCCAATTTCACGGGTCCTCCTCCTCATCTAGGCTGTCTCTCTTTGACCACTAATCCTCACTGGCTGAGGAGTTTGTGACAGATTCAGACAACGCTCCAGAACTGAGAGATGGGATGGGTGTGAGAGGTAGCCCATCCCCCCCAACCCCCCGCCCGGCATAGCTTATGCAACCCCTATATTCGATCTCTGAGTACTTGACAGGAAACTCACTGCTTCAAAGCAGCCGGTCACGCTCACTCCTATACTAGGAAACGTTTCAGGAGTCACCTCCTTCCAGTGCCCTGGAAACACTGGATCTGTCTCTGGGAACCACACTGGACAGGTGTTCCAGCAAGATGGCAAACAGCACCAGCTCTGAGGGGGTGGGGTGCTTCCCAGACACATACCTTCACTGCTCCAGAGACAAATGAGACAGCCCTCCCCTCCGCTGTGTTATCCACCGGCTGGTGAAATCAGAACCAACTCAACCATCTAACAACGAGCCCTGTGAATGGGTGTTTTGCCTCCACGGTGGTGCATTGTGGTACATCATAGGCGCCTGGCGCCTGTGGAGGCCAGCAGAGGGCCTCGGATCTCCAGAAACTGGAGTTACAGATGATTGTGAATTGTCGTGTGGGTGCTGGAACATGGGCTCTCTGTAAGGGCAGCCAGTGCTCTTACCCACAGAGCCATCGCTCCATTCTGAGAATGGTCTCTAGAAAATGACGCTTCTCGGGGTCCTGCAGTAACATGGGAAAATGCCCACAACATTGCACGAAGAGTGGGACCATAAAGATAATGGAAAACAAACGCCAAACCGCCTAGAAAGAACCCCAGAAACAAGTCCCCCAAATTGTCGGCATACTGGCTGCTCCTGGTAAGCTGGGTTTGAAGTAATTTTCTTCCTTGCTGCCTTTTGATAGCTTCTTTTTTTTTTTTTTTTTTTTTTTGGTTTTTCGAGACAGGGTTTCTCTGTGTAGCTTTGCGCCTTTCCTGGAACTCGCTTTGGAGACCAGGCTGGCCTCGAACTCACAGAGATCCGCCTGCCTCTGCCTCCTGAGTGCTGGGATTAAAGGCGTGCGCCACCACCGCCCGGCTTTGATAGCTTCTAATAGATCCACAACTCTATAACATTTTTATAAACAGGAACGTGAAACAGATCTTTTCTCCTTCAATTTTGTAGTAAGCCAATAGCAGTTTTCTGGGATGCAGGTCAGTCAACAGAGAATTTGTCTAACATCAAGAAGTGTTGAGTTCCATCCCTGGCATCACACGAACTGGGAAGGGTGGTGCGGTCCTGTAATCCTAGCACTCTGGAGGTGGTGATGGAAGAATCAGGAGTTCAAAGTCATCCTTGGTTTCAAAGTGAGTTTGAAGTCAGCCTAGATGCATGAGGCCCTGTTTTTAAAAGGGGGTGGGGCTGAAGAGATGCGTCCATAGTTAAGAATGCTTGCAGCCCCCCATCAGACAGCTCAAAACAGATGCCCTCTTCTGGGCATGGTGGCACATGCCTTTAGTTCCAGCCGAGGCAGGCAGATCTCTGAGAGTTCAAGACCAGCCTGGCCTATGTAGTAAATTCCAGGCTAGTCAGAGCTACACAGTGACCCCGTGTCTCAAAAGAGGGAGGGAGGAGAGGAGAGAAAGAGGAAGGTGAGTTTACATGGGCTAATACAAGCGGAGGGCAGAAGTTCCCAGGGACAGTCAGGAAGCGCAGAGGCAGAAGCAGGCCTGGAGATCTTCAGGCTCAGAATTCCTCCTTCTCTTCCTAAACTTGCTTGTTTCTCCTCATCCAGAAGCAGAAACCACTCGGGGTGTGAAAATGAAGTGCTGCTCTCAAAGGCTCGGGTGTTAAGGCTTGGTCCTCAGCTGGTTTGATGGAGAGGCCACTGGCTTACAGCAGGGAGGGGGCTAGCCTCACCCACGGGTTAATCCATCAACATGCTGAGTCAGGAGGGAGAGCCTGGCCGGAAGAAGTAGGTCACTGGGACATACCTTTAAGGGACATCCGGTGCCCAGACTCTTCCTCTCTGTCTCTCTGCTTCCTTGGCTGCACGAGGTAGGCATTGTTCTCCCGCACCCTCTCTGCCATGTCATCCAATCTCAATACAAGCCCACAGCAATGGGGCAAAGTGAGTATGGGTGGAAACCTCTGACGGCGTGATAATTAATAAGATAAATCTTCATTTTCAGTATTTCTCTGGGGTGCTTTGTCATAGTAACAGAAAGGTCACTCATATCCCATGAAAATGAGCCCACAGTGGCCCCCAATTCCTCCCTCAGGAGCACTAGATGGCAGGCTCAGGACCCTGCTCCTTCCTGGATAAAGGGCAGTTTGCATGGGTGCCCTCTTTGAACTTTTGGGGGTTCACTTGTCTCCTCCCTGGCTGCCCAGCTCCTGTGTGGAGAGTGCCACACCTGCAATCTTGGGCTTTTCCTGACCTCTTCTTCAGCTTGAAGAGTAGGGAAGATGTATTTCAGAGTCATTGCAGCCACAGCCTCAGATCCCACAGTGGCCATTCCCGCTCTTCATGGAGAGGTGGAGACCTGCATGCAGGCCGTGAAGCTGCCACTCCTTCATCCCACACCAGACTACTGCGGCCCCTTCACACTTTGCCCAGCCCTGTTGCCAGGAGCTCAGTCAAGAATGCCTTCCATCAGCTACCCAGGGCCCCTTCTCCCCAGGTGTCCCACGTGAAAACAGAGGACAAGGGCATACCACCTTTCAGGAAGGTATTTAATAAAGGAGCCAGTTGCTGGACGGATTTCTGATCTGACTATGACCACTTTTTCAGAACCATGCTACCTGTTTTCTGCCCATCTTCAGTCCGTCTACTGAGGTCAGGCAGCCAGCACATCTGCCCATTTTACAGATGTGGAAACTGAACAACAGAGTCACTTTACGCACTCAGGATCTTGCAGACCCTGTTCCACTTGGGGACAATTCAATAAGAATCATGAGTGGCCAACTCCTGAATGTTACTCTGAACCAGCTTGGATTCAGAGACCCCTGGACCAAGAGACCAGTTTGTTTGGATTTGCAGTAAAAGCTGGTGTCTGTTCTAGAGCCTTTGGAACAGCAGCATAGTTGGAAATGTTTGTGGTAGTCACTACAGAATGATTCCGTCAAGTAGCACTTGGGGCTGTGTGACAAAAGAGAAGACCCAGGCCAGCACTGTCCAATACAGCCTTGACGGAGACCACACCTATAATGTTATACTTGTCACATTCTTTACATAGGGTCTTGTGTAGCCCAGGCTAGCCTCAAAGTTGCTAGGCAGCTGATGGTGACCTCAAACTTGCGATCTTACCTCCCAGGTGCTGGCCCTGCAAGACATGTGACACCACACAGAAAAACACCAACACATTTACTGTGGCCGGTAACCACATTTTTTTAAAGTGCAAAGAAAGCCAGGACTGGGGAGAACAAGTTGGTAACGCTATTTTGGAGGCTGAGGCAGGAGGTCACCAGTTCAGGCCAGTCTAAGTAACTTAGTGAGACATCATTAAAACAAAAACAAAAACAAAACAAAACAAAAAACAAACATTGGGACTTCAGCTCAGCGGTACAGCACTTGCGTAGCATTTGGGATGGAGGCCCTGGGCTTGCTCTCTAGTGCTGAGGGGAGAATGAAAGAGGAGAGATCTGGTTCATTTTTAATGTGTTCTAATTAACCCAATGTACCGTCAAAGCTTTTCTTTCCCCTACATAATAATATAAACTAATTTAATAAAATATCTTAATTTTTTTTCTGCGCAAAGCCTTCCGCACACCCCTTTTCAAACCAGCCATGTTTCAAGTGCCCAGTAGCCCCTCGCTACTGTGTTGGACAGGTCCTAGAACTGTCCAGATAACCTGCAACAGGAAAGTTGTGGGCGAAGGGTCAGACGCTGAGCCACAAAGAGAAATCTGTGAACTGAGGGGAGATGGCTCAGCGGCTCAGAGCACTTGTCATCCATACCAAGCCCTAGTTCAACCCCCAGAGCCGACAGCGGAAGGAGAGAACCGGCTCCCAAAGGTGTCTCCTACCCACACACGCATGCCTTTGACATGTGTGCCCCTGTGCTCAGACACAAACAATAATAGTAAAAAAATTTTTAAAAATAATGAATCTGTGAACTGAGAGTGTAGCTCAACGACTTGCCTAGCACACACAGGGTCCTGAGTTTGAAACCCAGCTACATAAAAACAGAACCAAAAAAAGACTCTGAGAGTCTCCCTGGGACAGGGCAGGAGGCCGGGCAATGACGGCCAAGGGCAGGTGGGGGCAGAAGAGAGCTTCTCCAGCCCGGGATGGGAGGAGAAGAGCAGGGAAGAGGAGAGGAAGGGAAGAGGAGAGGCTGGTTATGTCCTATCCCAGACCCGCTATGGTCGCAGCCTGGGGCTTTCCCCCGGAGCCCTGTGGCAGCCTCCGCACATCTGTAAGGCTACAGAGGAGGGGGAGCCAGGCTGTCAGCTGGGAGGAAAAATGTCCCCAGGGCCAGACCTGGACTCATGACTAAAAAAGAGAAGGAGGGAGCTGAGTTTTAAGCCAGATGGTGTAAAAGGGACAAAAGATCTTCCGGTATGGTATGGACGGTCTTTGACTTAATGGCTCAAACAAATAATTTTTACATCAAGGTAGTCTTAAAGTGATAAGTGTTTCTTGTAATGCTGGAGGCAGCAGCCAGCCAAGCCCCAGATCCGGGTCTGCCCCCACGATCGGGCCAGGGGAAGGTTTGGTGCTCACAGTGATGGAGCAGGTTAGACAAATTCCGTGCATTTGCAACTTACGATGCATTTATAGACGTGTTACTGGGCATAGGCCTACTGCACCCAATACAGCAGACTGTTCTTATGTTTTCTTTTACTTTTTGAAGTGGGGTTTCACTGTGTGACCATGGCTGGTGTTGAACTTTCAATCCTCCTGCCTCAGCTTCTGGATTGTGCAATTATAGGTGATGACGGATTTATCTTTTATTTTTTATTTTAGTATGGCATAACGAACTCAGGGCTTTCCAGACGGTAGGCAAATACTGCTTATGAGATACATCTCTTGCCTTTTTTTTTTTTTTTTTTGGTTTTCGAGACAGGGTTTCTCTGTGTAGCTTTACGCCTTTCCTGGAACTCGCTTTGGAGACCAGGCTGGCTCTGCCTCCCGAGTGCTGGGATTAAAGGCATGCACCACCACCGCCCGGCCTTTTTTTTTTTTTTTTTTTTTTTTTTTTTTTTTTTTTTTTTTTTGTTCATCTCTTGCCTTTTAAGTCCTAGTTAGTGACTGAAGGTCTCTGCAAAGCTCACATGGCTAGAAAGAACATGGGGGCGATTCTTAATACTGACCACAAGGCCCAGAGCAAAGCTAAGACATTTAAAGACCTTCAGATGTGAAAATAGTATGTCCAATATGTCACTATGAGAAATAATTTCACGCACAAAGTTTGGGGTTTCAATTTTTGTCTGTTTTGTTTTTTTCTTTGTTTGGTTTTTGAGGCAGGAGAGCCTCCAGCTCTGTATGTACCTGATGACCTGGAACTTCTGATCCTCCTGCCTGTACCTCCCAAATGCTAAGATTACAGCTCTTAAAAAATAAAAATCGCCGGGCGGTGGTGGCGCACGCCTTTAATCCCAGCACTCGGGAGGCAGGGCCAGGCGGATCTCTGTGAGTTTGAGGCCAGTCTGGGCTACCAAGTGAGTTCCAGGAAAGGCGCAAAGCTACACAGAGAAACCCTGTCTCGAAAAACAAAAAAATAAAAAAATAAAAAAAAATAAAAATAAAAATCATGTGTGTGGGGGAGGGGTGGCATAAGCCTTTAATCCCAGCCCTTGGGAGGCAGAGGCAGGCAGAACTCTGTGAGTTCAAGGCCAGCCTGGTCTACAGAGCAAGTTCCAGGACAGCCAGAGCTACACAGAAAAACCCTGTCTCGAAAAAACAAAATAAAAGTGTGTGTGTGTGTGTGTGTGTGTGTGTGTGTGTGTGTGTGTGTGTGTGTAGGGTGATAAGGCAGATCTCCAGGGACTACGGAAAAGTGAGCACACATTTCAGAGTCAGACAGATCTGGGTTCAGATCCTGACTTTAACCATTCATTTATTCTCTGAGCCTCAATTTGCTTATCTATAAAATGGGGATATTAGAGTGTCCAGCTTAGTGCCTGACACATAATAAGAGCTTAGTAAAGGGAATTCTAGGAATCTGCCCCAGCAGCCACGTGAGAAGCCTGAGCAAGTGGCTCAGTCCAGCAGTCCTGCCTTGCTCAGGCAAAGCTGGGCTTTGAGACAGAGAGGGGACACCCCATGGCTGCTGTGACTATGTGGGGCTTCCAGAAAGGCAATCTCAGGGCTTTGGCATAGGTGAGCAGCGGAAGGTTCCACCTACCCCAAAGGAGATGTAGGCGCCCAGGAGGCTGCCGGCAATGGTGGCGTAGCCTCCAGTCATGACAACGTGAACTTCAGAGAGTGTCATGTCTGCCAGGTAGGGCCGGATCAGCAGGGGAGCTTCGGTCTACAGACAAGACAGATGGCAGACAATGAGCTGGGGTGACTGGGCACTGTTCTCACGCACCTCGCCCTGGAAGTGGTGGTCATGGTGCATGACAAAGAATCTCAGAGGAGGAAATGGAAGGGTGGGTTCCTATTCAGTGGAGTCTCTCTGGACCTCACTGTCCTCCCACCTCTGTGGAAGGACCACCACACCACCCTGTTTCACAATGCTCCCTGTGTTGACACATACTGTGTGCCTCACACCCAGGCACCTCCTCACTGCTTACAACCTGAGACAGAAAGATCCTCACTTTCCAGGGGAGCAGAGAAGGGGAAGCAAGCCTGAACTGTTGATGAGGCCAGGGGGTACCACCAAGAAAGGAGCTGGGTATGCAATGGCCATTTGCTTTGGGACCTGTGGGGAAGTCTGGGCCACTCTTTATTTGTCCAGTACAGCTACAGACTCACTGGCATCTTGGTACTGTTCTGCAGGATAGGGAGACGGGAGGATGACGGCTCATCTTCATTGTCAAGGTGACTGGGTTTAGAATCACCATGGAAACACACCTTTGGTGCATCTGTGAGGGTGCTTTCAGAGAGGTCTAACTGAGGGGGGACGACCCACCTACCCTGAATGTGGATGGCATCATCCCACAGGATGAATACAAAGTGGAAAGTGAGCTGAGCACCAGCATGCATCTCCCTTGGCTTCCAACTGCAGACACACTATGATGGCTGTCTGTGCCAACATAGACTGCACCTCTAAAACGTGAGCCAAAGTAAGCATCTCTTTCCTTCCCTAAGGTGCTGCTGTCAGTATTTCATCACAGGAACAAGAAAAGTAAACAACACACTGAAGGGGTAAGAACTCTCCCTGGGAGCAGGAAGAGGGAGGGAGGTCAAGAGGAAGGAGAGATAGATAAGAATAAGGAGCCAGGTAGATACATGCTATGATTTTAGAGGGTGATAGAATCTATGAAGATATGTAAGAGAGAAGGCCTCGTGGTTAGGGAATATCGGCAAAGGCCTCTTTGAGGATGTAGCATTGAGTTAATGTTAGCCAAGATGGGAAGGGGCCGACCACAGACTTGTGGCTCAGCAGTTAGGCTGAGCAAAGACCTGGGGACAGGAATAGCTTGGCCAAGTTTGAGGAGTGCCGAGGAGGAAGACATGTCTGTCACAGAGTGCTGTGTGTGAGGACTAGTTTGATATGGAGGCAGAAGAGGGCAGATGGGCTCTGGGGGAAGAAATTCACTTGTAGGGCATGGCATGAGGTGTGTGTGCATGCGTATGCATGCGTGCGTGCGTGAGAGAGAGAGAGAGAGAGAGAGAGAGAGAGAGAGAGAGAGAGAGAGAGAGAGAGAGAGAAAGAGAGAGAGAGACTAGGATAGAACCTCTAGGGTTTTGCCCATGTTCAGCACGCATTCTACCACTGAGTCACACCCCCAGCTCCTCGTACATGTTTTTGACAGGTCACTCAGCCATATGTCTAAGGATGGATGGTAGGAGTGAGGATGGAAGCAGGGAGGGCAGGGAGCGATGGCAGTGGTCCAGGAGACTGACAGCGTGGCTCCCAGCAAGGAAGAAGGGCAGGACCAGGGATGGATGGATGCAGGGGCGGAGCTGAGGGACTTGGTTCCAGGTGGGATGCATGGGTAGAGCACAGTGAGGGAAGCAGAGGAAGGCGGGATGGCTTTCTGGGTTGTCTGAATAACCCATGGGAGATGTTATTGCTTCCTGGGAGTCTTAAGAAGATGCAGCTGTGCCAAGGGAGGGACTCTAGGTCCTGTTTGGTGAATTTGAGACATCTCTGAGTTATTATTGACTCACAGGGGTAAGAAACTGTCAGACCACCAGTCCAGAGTTCAGGGAGGAAGGATGGGCTTGGGGCTCCAGATCAGGACACATATAAAGCATTTACAGCCACGAGGCTACCGTAAAACCTTGAGGAGGGAGTGTGGACTGCGTAGGTGGGCCAGGCCTGCCATGGTTATAGACTGAAATGGTGTCAGCAAACCTTTGATGCTCTTACTCCGTCCCCTCTTTGACGGAAATGAGGCAAAGAGCCAGGGCTCTAGGGAGACTGGACCAACAACGTAGACACACTAACATACATTGGGAGCTCTTTATGGCAGCCAGAGTGACACCCGCTGCTGTTCTTTTCTCAGCAGAAACAGGCTGTGTCTTTAAGCTTTCACAATAGTCGGGGTTCTGTACTCTGGGGCCCTCCTCTTCTTGGGCCTCAGTTTTAACATCCTAAAGAGATTTGGTTGGTGGTTCATGCCTGTAATTCAAACACTCAAGAGGTAGAAGCAAAAGGATTAGCAGCTGAAGGCCTTTACTCCCAGCGCTCAAGAGGCAGGGACAGGTGGATCTCTAGAGTTCTAGGCCAGCCTGATCTATAGAGTGAGTTCTAGGATAGCCAAGGCTACACAGGGAAACCCTGTCTCAAAAACAAAACAAAATAAACAAAAGCCAAGAGAAAGCAAGAGAGAGACAGACACAGAGACAGAGACAGAGAGAGACAGAGAGAGAGGATAGACAGAGATAGACAGAGAGAGAGAGGATAGACAGAGAGAGGAGAAATAGAGACAGAGGGGGTTTATTTTAGGAACAACTTATCTGCAACCACATCTGTCTAGAACACCAAACATACAAACTATAAAATTAGCATGCTTGCACCATAACAAAAAATAGGCTGGCCGGGCAGTGGTGGCACACACCTTTAATCCCAGCACTTGGGAGGCAGAGGCAGGTGGATCTCTGTGAGTTCGAGGCCAGCCTGGACTACAGAGTGAGTTTCAGAAAAGGCGCAAAGCTACACAGAGAAACCCTGTCTCAAAAAACCAAAAAAAAAAAAAAAAAAGGCTGATATTTTCTAAAAGCTTCTAAACTACCCAGTGAAATATGAAACCACTTGACAAGGGCATCTCTTAGGGACTCTCTGGCTTGCACAGTTTCCTTCTCAGGAAGGTCAGCCCTGAAGAGACTCAGGAGGCCCAGTGCCTTCAGAGCCATAGTTATTCTGAAAACTACATTTCAGACAGAAGAAAACTGAGATAAATAATACAGCGGAAAGAAGTCTGCGTAGGAATCAGACAAACAAAACCTAAATGTTGTCTTCACTTATCCCTGGGGGGTCTTGGCCAAACCATTCATACCTTCCTGGCCTCAGTTTCCCCATCTGATGCCTGTGAGTCTCTAAGCTGATGACAACAGCCTAGGCTGTAGCGGCAGAGGTGCCGAATAGGCCATGTCTGGGTTTGGCGTGACACAGGCTGGGCGTGCAGCCACCAAACCGAGCATGCCTGGGCAGCAGCCTTCGATGACCCTGGGGACAGGTTCAGATGGCTCTCCCTCGAATTAAATTGGATCCCTGCCCCCGACTCCAGTCTGCTTTGGGTAGATGCGATACCCACCTGGCTCACAAAGATGTTTCCGGCCACACTCAGGGTCTCAGTGGCTGAGGTGCCCATGGTGACCTGCATCAGCCAGGCAATCTGGGGGGGGGGAAATAAAAGAGTACTCATGAGTGGACCTTAGCAAGCCCAGACTCAGAAAGAGTTGAGGGGTGATGTGGTGATATTTTTTTTGTGCTCTCACAAATAAAGCTTGCCTGGAGATCAGAGTGTGGAGCTAGCCACTAGAGGCCAGGCAGTGGTGACACACACCTTTCATCCCAGCACTTGGGAGGAGGAAACAGGAAGTGATATGGCTGGGCCGAAGTGATAAGGCAGGAGGAAACAGCGTTGCCCCCTTGCAGTCTGAGGATTCCTAAAGGTAAGCAGTCTTTCTAGTGGCTGGCTGCTCTGCTTCTCTGATCTTTCAGCTTTCACCCTGACATCTGACTGTGGGTGTTTATTACTAAGACCAATTAGAACCCACACTACGGGGTGAAGGTACCTTAGAAGTCTTTCTTCCAGCCCAGGGCCCTGCTGTGGTTTGAATGGCCTCTCCAAAACTCATGTTGAACTTTAATTAGCACTGGGGTAGTATTAGAGGCGATCGGGGACTGGGGAGATGACCGCCCAGTCTGTCGGGTACAGACTCCTAGCGCCCATGTAAAAAGCATGCACCTGTAATCCCAGTGCTGGCGAAATGGAGACGGGATCCCTGGGAATTGCTGGCCAGTCAGTCTAGCCAAATCAGTGAGCTCCAGGTTCAGTGAGAGATCCTATCTCAGAAAATAGGTGGAGGGTGAGCCAGCTAGCTCATCGGGTAAGGCATTTGCCACCAGGCCTGATGACCTAGTCTGATCCCCAGGACCCACACAGTGGAAAGAGAGAACCGACTCCTGCAAGCTGTCCTCTGACTGCTACACATGTCTGTGGTATACATACATACATACATACATACATACATACACACAAAATACATTTATATCTATAATATGTTATACATACGGATTTGTTTTATGTGCATGTGTGTGGGGGTGCCTGTGCCTTGGATCCCCTGGAGCTGGAGTTACCGGGAGCTGTGATCTGCCAAGGTGAATACTGGGAACCCGACTAGGGCCTCAGCAAGCACAGTACATATTCTTAGCTGCTGAGCCATCTCTCCAGCTCCCAGATAAGTAATTAGAAAACAAACTGTTAGTTGGGCTTCGTGGCACACATTTTTAATCGCAGCACTCACGAGGCAGAGGCAGGCAGATCTCTCTGAGTTCAAGGCCAGCCTGGTCTGTCTACATAGTAAGTTCGGGGACAGCCAGAGCTACACAGTAAAACCGTGTCTCAAAAAAAAAAAAAAAAAAGATTAAATTTGTTCACCGTAATGTCTGGCCTAGTCCCCTCAGCTACTTCACTAGAGACTTCCTTTTCCAAGTAACATCTGGTAGCATGCCAGGGTCTAGAGTTCAGTAGAAAGGGTTTGGGACACATTGTTCTAGAAAGTTCCTCCCTGGAATGTTTCTGCACTGCTGCCGCCTCTCAGCCTGCCCTTGTTCAGCCTCTCTTCATAAGTGTTTGGAAATAGCCTTCTTCCTCTTGTCCACGCCTACCCTTCTCTGTCCCTCCAGCCCTGCCATGTAGGCTGTGGATTCAAGCCCTTGCACTCTGTGGCTTCTAGCACCGTTTGTCCACGGCCATGGTTGAGCACGTTCTCCAGATCCAGGGACAGTCCCCTCCCTTGGATTCTGCCGGGTATGCTCTTGACATAACCATGGGTCACTTTTTCTTCTTGCTGCCATCCAAAGGTGCTGATTTATTCGGAGCTCCGCTGGCTAAATCCTCAGCATCTTTTGTGAGGTCTGATGCTGCCAAGTGCTGTACAATGCTATTTCCGACATCCTGATGTTACACAGAAGATCTCACAGACCTAAGCACATTTGGGCTGCCAGGATGGCCCAGCAGGTAAAGGTGCTTGCTGCCAAGCCTACCAAGCTGAGTTTGAGCCCCAGGTCTCACACGGCAGGAGGAGAAAACCAACTCCTGCAATGTGTCTTCAGACCTCCACATGCGCATCCTGAGATGTGTGCATTCACACATGTACGTGTGCACACACACAATAAACAAAGAAATAAATGTAATCATCTTTTTTAAGTGAGCACATTTATATTAGCTAAGTCTGGCCAACGTGGCCTGATGTTATAATCTCTCAGGATCATTTTGGTATAATTTTTCTCCTAAAGCTTGTGTTGCCTCAGAGACCCCCAACCCCCCCTCCCATAAAGACTGCAGTGAATTTTGATGTCATTTTTTCCCCTAGTATTGGGACGAGAGACCTTCTGAAGGGATGTTTGATTCGCAATAGGTTCGGAGAGAATGTGAAGTGTGGGAGCAGAGGATTCTGGGAAGGCATGGCCTTGAGGAACAAGAGACTCTGGGAGGGTATGGACCCTGGAAGCAGAGGATTCTGGGAAGGTATGGATCCAGAAAGTAAGGAATTCTCGGGTAGAGAGGTAGACCTTGAGTCATGGGATTCTGGGAGAGTATGGACGCTGAAGGCAGGGGCATCCTGGGATGACAGGATTCTAAAGGTCGTGAACCTGAGAGCCGGTGACTCAGAAGACCCCAGCACAGGCCTAAGGACTCACCTTCAGGATCACCCACTGCATGAGGCCCAGATAGTACAGAACCGACATAACACAGCTGAAGAAAACAATGATGGGCAAAACCTGCCGGGAAACAGAGGATCTCGGGTTAGAGGTGCGGGCCAGGGCTGGGCTGGGGGCAGGGGGAGCCCTGCCTTTACCACCTGTTTCTTGGGATTGTCATAAAGGGTAAAGGAGCAGGCTCAGGTCTAGCACCCCGATGGACTCTTCTACTTCTTCATAAGCTCAGTTCTGGTCTATGGCTCTGGCCTGGTTGGGCCCCCTGCACTCTGGGCCTGAGTTAGGAAACTCTTCTCATTGTGGCTTTCTGCTTCTGCTCAGGACCATCAAACTTGGAGCAGTTATCCTGGCCCTGCCATTAGCATCTCATCCCGTCACCCTGCTTCCTCTTCAGCCATGCCGGGACCCTCACATCCATTCCTTCCCTTCCAGGCCCACAGCCCCACCCCGGGGCTTTCTCCCTACAGGTCTTTTATTCATTTATTTTTAAAGATTTATTTTATTGTTTTAATTATACATAGATGGAAGGACATGGTACGCGCACATGCGAGCAGATGCCTGCAGAAGCCAAAAGAGGGCATCAGATGCCCCGGGGCTGGAGATGGTTGTGAAATGCCTGGCACAGGTGCTGGGAACCAAACTCCAGTCTTCTGCAAGAACAGTGCATGCTGTTCACTGCCGAGCCCATCTCCCCAGCCCCAACTTCAGCTCATTTGTGGTAGCAGAACTTGCATGTCTTTTGACAGAGGGCTGATTTAGTAGCCCACAACACGGCCACATACTGTGAACTAAATGTCAGGAAATGAGAACAAGAAAGCTCTTGGAGTCTCTGGAGAAGCTTACACACACGTCTTGAGTGTATGCCCTTTTCCAAAGCCTTCTCACTCCCTCAAGTCTCCTGCTAAATATAAAACGAGAGAATAGGAGAGTAAGCGAAAGCTCCCTGTGGGAACTTGTGAGAGGATTCTCAAGGCAGGCTATCAAGCTGATTGTGGTGGCACATGCCTTTAATCCCAATGCTGGGAGGTAGGGGCAGGAGGATCACTGTGAGTTCAAGGCCAGCTTGGTCTTCAAAGCAAGTTCCAGGACAGCCAGGGCTACACAGAGAAACCCTGTCTCAAAAAAACAAAACCAGGCTATTACATGAAAAAAGGAAGCCGGGCGGTGGTGGCACACACCTTTAATCCCAGCACTAGGGAGGCAGAGGCAGGTGTATCTCTGTGAGTTTGAGGCCAGCCTGGTCTCCAAAGCGAGTTCCAGGAAAGGCACAAAGCTACAGAGAGAAACCCTGTCTCGAAAAACCAAAAAAAAAAAAAAAAAAAAAAACGGAGAGACTTACAATCGGCATACAAAGTGTACATGAGGGAAAAGCAAGAAGTTCGTGTGGACATGGGACATCATCCAAAGGGTTTGCAAGTGACCAGTGACAATGGACGTCTGAAAGTAAGTGGCTGAGGTCCAGGGCTGGGGGGACATGTGCCTCTTAGGTCCTTCTTCTCATTGGAGTATTTCTCATCTGTGTATTTCTTTTTCAAATAGTTCAAAAGTCCTACAGAGTTGCTAATAATATGGTAATTCTCTCTCATTAAAAAGTGGGAAACCGCCGGGCGGTGGTGGCGCACGCCTTTAATCCCAGCACTCGGGAGGCAGAGCCAGGCGGATCTCTGTGAGTTCGAGGCCAGCCTGGGCTACCAAGTGAGTTCCAGGAAAAGGCGCAAAGCTACACAGAGAAACCCTGTCTCGAAAAACCAAAAAAAAAAAAAAAAAAAAAAGTGGGAAACTTTTCGTGGTGGCGCACACCTTTAATCCCAGCACTCAGGAGGCAGAAGCAGACAAATCTCTGAGTTCGAGGCCAGCCTGGTCTACAGAGCTAGTTCCAGGACAGCCAGGGCTGCACAGAGAAACCCTGTCTCAAAAAAACAAAACAAAACAAAAAGTGGGAAAGCTGGAATATTAAAACGTGGAAAGGAGCCAGCAAGCCGGCTCAGCAGGTAAGGGTGCCTATCACCAAGCCTGGCCACTTGCACTGCATCCCTGGGACCCACACGGTAGAAGGGAGAATCAACACATTGTTTTCTGACTTCAACACTGGTACTGTGGCATGTGTGCACCTGCTCTCACACAGCCACCCACCCCACACACACACTGAATAAATCTTTTTAAAAAGGAAAAATAATAATAATAAAAGGCACTACTCCCAAACAAACACTTACTGCCCTGGGTGCCAGGGCCATCAGGAATTTTGTTCTCCTTTTAATTTCTGAATTTCCCATCTGTTCCTATAATTTTTTCTTCCTTTTCATTTTGTGGGTGCTGAGAACCCAGCCCAGGGCTTTATGCAAGCTCTGCCACACGCTCAGTCCCTGGCCCGAGTTCCTGTAACTTTCTCTAATGGCAGACATGTTTCAAGGAGGGCACAAAGGCAGAGGAGAGCCGTGGGATCATCAATTTAGTTTTGAACTTGGTGGGTTTGAGAGGTCCACAGAATCTCCGAGTGGAATATTCTACTGGATAAAAACATCCAGGGCCTGAGCGGGAACACTGGATCGGGACCGTGTTGTGGAATAGTACTTTAACGAGGCAAAGATGTGTTACATTTCTTTATGCTGTGGAAAGGTGTGTTGCATTTGTTTATGCTGCATTTGTTTAACGATGTAAGGATGTGTGTTTAATTCTGTAAAGATGTGTTACATTTGTTTCACCTTGCCTGCCTAAGGCACCTGATTGGTCCAATAAAGAGCTCTTGGTCCAATAGCGAGGCAGGAGAGGGACAGGCAGGGCCGGTGGGCAGAAAGGATAAATAGGAGGAAGACTCCAGAAAGAAGAACAAGAGGAAGAAGAGAGGAGAAAGAGAGGGAGATGCCTGGGGCTGGAAGCCAGGCAGCTGCCCGCCAGCCAGAGAGCCAGCAGGAAAGCGGGACATACAGAGAGAAAAGGTAAAAAGCCCCGAGGCAAAACACAGACAGAGAGAGGTTAAGTGAAAAGAGCTAGCTAGAAACGAGCCTAAGCTAGGCTGAGCATTCACAACTAATAAGTCTCCATGTCATGATTTGGGAGCTGGTGGGTGGCCCAAAAGAAAAAGCCTGCTACAGGACTGGATTTGGGACTTGATCCTTCAAGATGGCTGAGCAGGCAAAGGCTTGCCATCGATGATCTGAGATCTACCCTTGAGAGTCACAGGGCAGGAGAGGACTGTCACCAGTTGCCCTCTGACTTCCACATACACGTGTGGCACACACACATGCACCACCACTCCTCACCCCCCCCACACACACACACACTCAATCAATTAAAAGTCACTTTAAAAGGAAAAAGGATGCCGAGGTCAGCCGAAGCAACCGAGCAAATGTCACTCACAGAACTGCTCGAGTGTGCAGAGCAGGACCCTGGAGTCTGCATCGCTAAGGTGGGAGGAAACGAAAGAGTCCAGAAGGAGCCTGAGGACAGCCCGAGTTAGAGCGGCCCAAAGCAGGCATGGCCAGTCAACTATGAGGGGGCCCCAGCACTCTGGCAAGATGCGGCTTGAGACAGACTGTGGAACTGTGTGAGCCGTGTCAGAGAGGGTGTGGACACAAGACCAGAAGCCACGCAACACTGGGAAGGGACAAGAGGCCCAGGGATGGCCAGGACAGGCAGCATTTCCAGGAGGCCAGGCTGGCAGGGAAGGCTGGAGAGCAGGAGCGGGTGATTTGTGTTTTGAAAAGGGAGAGTCTTGCACACTCTCTCCAAACAAGCAGACCAGTCATAGGTGGCAGCAAAGATCTGCTCCCACAGCCCGACTGGGGATGAGAGAGGGGTCTGGCTGAAGGTTCCTCTCCCCTCCCCCAACCAACATCCCTGGCCTTCCCTGGACTTGTTCCATTCCACCCCTACCACTGGGGCATGCCTGCTGCTGGGTTGTCACACAACAGGTACCTTAGGTACTGGCTTCAGAAACCCTATTCCTGCCCTATAACTCCTCCTTACCCATGCATGGAGCTGGAACTATCCACAGCCCAGGGTGGTGACATCATTCTGCTCTCCCAGAAGCCAGAGCTGCGTACTGTCTAGTCAGCTGGTGTGATTGATCATGTGAGGGGCTCCAGGGCAACCGGCTGGCTACAGCCCCAGGCTCAAGCCAGGAAAATACATCCAGGATTGGCAGAGTGGGTGTCAGAAGGCGTGTTCTAACTGCAGATGGGGGCTGTTGGTGACAGGGAAGCTGCGTTTGGGGTGACGCGGTGAATGGTGGAGGGAGGGAAATGGGAGAGAAGAGGGGGTGGCCGTTGGGTAGCTTAGTGGTGAAGCATTTCCTAGCGTTTGAGGCCCTGCTTGGAGGCCAAGGAACCCCCGCACCAGAAATAATAGAAGAAAAGCACTAAGGGGAGGGGAGGGGAGGGGAAAGGAGGGGAGGGAAGGGGGAGGGCGGGTAGGCTCCAGTTTTCTAAGGTAGGATATGTAATAATGTCCCTGTGGCCAGGATGATCTCACAAAACCACCTTTGGACCGACAGTGCCTAGGATGGCAGACATTGGGCAATGGTACTGAGGAAGGATGAGGGAAGTACTATCAGCTCCTACTCAGTCCTGGTGGGAAGTTCTACCATGAGCCAGCTATCCATTGATATATGGTGGCTCATTGACCCTCAGAGCAATTGAGATGTTGGTGATCATCTCCACCTGACCAATGTCTACACCGAGGCTCTGAGGTGTGGGCTGCCTGTCCAAGGTCACACAATGGAGGATGGGCAGAAACCTCCTAGCTGCCAGGAAGGTTGCCAAAGTCCTGCAGGGCTGAGGCATTTGCCCTGGGGAAAGTTGGCTCCTCTGTGTCCCTGCAATAGGCTGAGTCTCCCAGATTCACACGATAAAACCAAAGCTGGGGAGACAGGATTAGAAGGGCCAAGGAGGTGATTGGGTCACGAGTGTAGCCCTCATGAATGAAGTCAGCTCCCCTTATGCAAGAGGGCCCTAGAGCACTCCCCTGTCTTCCACCATGTGACAACTATGAGCAGGAAAAGAGATTCCTCATCAGAATGTGACCATGGGGGGGCTCTGTTCACCTCCCCGGCCTCTGGAACATTC